ACAATTTAAACAATGAAAGTGATTATAGTGTTCAACAATATATTAACTTGCATGTCAAAAATATCAGGAAAAAACACATATTTGTGAGATAAATTAGAAGAAAGTTGTTTGCAATTCATTCTGTCTCGGGAGAGGCAACAATATTTAACTAATAAATGCGTGATGGAATGGATGAATGGATGAATGGATGGAATATTTGTGTTTAATATTGACACTATTGAAAATATAACCACAAGTAGCTATGGGGTCGTCCATAAATTACGTCATGCAATTTTTGACCATTTTGACAACCTCCACTTGCTCCCCCCCCTCGTCACAAAATCGTAACTCTTTAGTAACAAGTTCCTTATGAGTTGTCACAAAGTCATTAACCCCTCCCCACAAGCGTGACGTAATATATGGACGACCCCTAGAGTCAAACTTGTAAATTAAGATTGAATGAATAATCAATTATAAATATAAACTTATATCATTTATTTTCAATAATAAGAAGCGCTTGTTCTCAGAGAAATTGTTCTAGTAAAAAAGTAAATGAAATTGGAAATAACTTCTGCACAAAAGAAAAAAACTATGGAGGAGAGTATGACTTAAATTTAGATAAGCAATGAGGAATAAAAAGTTTGATACCTACCTGAACCCAAGATATAACAAAAAACTTGCAATTTTAACTGATAAACCACAAACATCATTGTAAAGTGTTCAAGTCACTAGAGTGAGTTGTAAAGTGTTCACTTAGTAGAGTTAAGTCACAAGTAAAGTTCTCAAGTCACATGGTGGTCACATGAGCTTTTTAAGAGAGCAAAGTTTAAGTTCAATTGTCGCAATACTCCCGCCATCAAAAATAACCTGATACACAACTGATAGAATGTACTTTTTGTACATAAAACCATTTTGAATTTCTTCTCAATAAAAGTTTTGTTTATCACAATTTCCATGAACTTCGAACTAATTTAAAATCTTAAGGCATAAATTGCCTTTTTTAATTCCATTTTTGACATTAATTTCAACTTTAATTTCAGAAAAAATTGAAAACATTTTTTTGTTACTCAATCTCGTTACTTTAGATTTTTTAAAATTCTTTTTACACATTTTACTCTATAGGAGCTGTATCATGAATGTGTTGATAGAAGCCTCTCCGAGAGCTACTATTAAGTGTTTCAGGAGACCTCAATACCAGTTGGTCTTAAAAAAATTAAACTAAATTTTAAAATTGTATCATTATTAGAATTAAACAGAAAGTTTTGCATAACTATTATTAAAAAGACAAAAGCAATTTACGAGTAAAAACCAAAAATTAACCAGCAAAAAGCAAAAGTTGACGAGCAAGATTCTAAAATTTACAAGTAAAGTCAAAAGATCTTGCACTATTAATCCGAGGCAGAAAAAAAATGCAACAAAAATTAACATCTACGTCAGTCTATTAAGTAAAGTAGAAACTTTATTTTTAGCTTTTACTAAACCTATAGTCCAAAGGCATAACGGCAATTTAGTAAGAATTTTCTCAATCTTTACTTTAAAAATCTAGTCCAACAAGGTAGCATGAAATGTGACACGTCGCATGTCGCACGTTGCATGTCTTGTCTTTAAAGACTAGCAATAATATTAATAAAAATGTTTTCTAAATACAAAAGTTTTTAGACAATAATGGGTTTTGTATTTTGTCAGCACCAGCTAGTAGCATGTACAACTTTTTATTTTTCTTGTGATCTAAGTGTTGATTTATAAATGTAAAGGGTTTCTACCAGAAATTTAAAAAAATTTATAATTAGTTAACATAGTTCTATTACTCCTGTGACAAGAATTAGTGGACATAAAATGAAGTGGTTAATTTTAAATTAAGGGACTTATTAAAACAATTTTCATAACTCTTATTAATTTTAATTAAAATATTTATGAAGGTACTCCAAGAAGACCTTACGGTCTTATCACAAAACCTCGTGGAGGAGCAATTAGGAAGTTCAGACCTCTTTCCTTAGGGTAATTTTTATGTCAAATGACCCAGGTCATGTCACCATACATCTCAGACTTTGCTGATTTTCATACAGTTGAGAGTGCTCAGTAAAAAAAAAATTCTTTAAAATTTTTAGCCTCTGGCTCCAAGAAGATCATGAGTTTTTTTGATTTGAACTTGTTCTGTTTTATTTAATTATTTGCAAAATAAAATACAAAAATATAAAGTCTCACGATTGTGTTAAGATTTTCTTAGTTAACAGTCAAAATATAAATACGTCAGTTATTGTTGCAGGTGCATCAATGGTACAAATTATGTTGGTAATTGGAACCCAAAACTCATCTGCTCTAGATGATCAAAAAAATTTGTTAAAAGGACGGGTGCATAAATGTTACATTAACATCTTGCTCATACCAATCCAATCAAATGTATCATATTTACACAGAACAAACTCACCCAATTTCAATGCATTGATGTTAATTTTCAATGTATTGATGTTATTTTGCTGATTAAGTTATATACTTTAAATATCAGAAAAAGAAAACATGCATGTTATATTAAAACCTTCACTTGTTGGTTTAAAGCTAACAGTATCTATAGATTCAGGGTTAAACTGATGATAGCTTCTAGTTCCAGGAACTGCTCTACTTAGCTAAAAACGTTTTTTTAAAGTGGTGCGCAATTCTGTCAGTCTTTCTTTTTCAATTTTGAAAAAAATAAACCCTTAAATATTTTTTGCACAGCGTCAAGCATTTTATTACATTCAATATTTGGTCATTTATGGGGCTTTACAAACTTGCATTTGCAGTTAATCATTTTACAGTGCTACCAACACCATCGCATGGTGACTTAACATAACTTGTAGAAAAAAATGTCCACTCTGCATCAATGTCAAAATCATATTTATGGAGACAAGTTTTGTAAAGGTTTTTGTGGTTTTTTACTATACAGCACAACCATCTGTAAAATAAAGAACCTTTGAAATGTTAGGATGATTTTCTTTTATATAACTAACTATTTGTGTTATAACTTCATATGCAAAACCAATGTCATGCTCATTATTATCTGACATGAAGCAAAACAATTTTTCTTTAGGCTGGTCAATTTTGCTTAATAAATAGAGGGCAACGTGGTATAACATGCATTGACTTTGGCACCAATGGTAATTTTGTATTTAGTTTTTAAACACAAACGAATAGTTTTCTGCAAAATCATCTTAGACGATAAGCAGTCTTTTGCCAGTCTTTTTCGTTTATATTTTTCGTTTATATTTGTTCTATTTGGTTTTTGATCAAAAAAAAAATTTCCTTTTGATCAAAAACCAAATGGAACAAATATAAACGAAAAAGGTTTTTTGAAGACAATATTTTCAAAATTATCTTATTAATTATTTTTTTGATAAAATTTATTAATTATAAATTTTTTTTTTTGAAAAAAGTGGGGAATGACCCCCAGTGCTTGTGCCTTATGCACCCTCTGGTCATCTACCCTGGAAACAATTTTAACACACATTCATTAAGAATACATAAATGCTGAAAGTTTCAGAGCTCCAGTTTGTCTGGAAAGTAGTGAAAAATCACAAGATTCCGCTACAAAAAAGTGGACCCATGACCCAGCCCTCTCCCCCGGTGTTTTAGACCCTGAAAACAACTTTAACATCCATGTTTACTGGCACTACAAAAATGTCAAAAGTTTCAGAGCTCCAGCTAGTCTAGAAGGTAGTGAGAAATCAATTACAACACTCCGCTGCAAAAAGGTGGGGACCGTGCCCCATTATCCATATAAATTCATACTTTTGCGTCACGGAAAGGAATTAGGCGTGAACTTCCTGGTTAAATACACTTCCACGGTGCTCTGTGACAAGACCATTAGGTCTTCTTGGGGCACCTAAATAACAAAATATATATATATATATTGCAGATCAAAATCTTTATACTTTTTGAAAGATCAATGAATATAGAATGATGTGTAATATATACCTTTTTGATATCATCATTGCCACATGGGTTTCTTGTGCATCGAAATCTGGTATATTAGAAATTGCCTAAATTTATTTAAATTGATAAATACATGTATTGCCATTGGATTTGCCACCCCTGAAAATGGCCTGGTGCAAATTTTGAAGCAAAAATATCAAATGTTTTTAAAGTTATGCTACATTAAACCTCTAAATAAGCGTTGCAATTCTAAGAAGACAAGAGGGGCCTGGCCAGTATCTGCTAAAAGTAAAACGGTCATATTTCGTGATCTTCTTGGAGCCAGAGGGTAAATTTTTTAAGGAGTTCTTATTTTAATAAGTACTCTTAAACTGTATAAAAATCGGTAAAATCTGAAATATAGAGTGACAATTTTGACAATTTAAAACTTTCTGGGTCATTTGACACCGAATTACCCCTTACCAATGTCATTTATTTGATTGGCGCCGGCATCGAGATTTGCACCTCGTGGTTCTGAGCCAGAGCTCTAATTATTGCACCACGGCTGTTTAAATAAGTATAAATTTATAGTTAAATAATTATTTGTTAACTATATATTAACATTAATTAAATATGAAACACTTGACGTTGACCTTTGGTCTAGTTGGTTCTTGACTGACGGTTTTTCAGGCAAAAATTATCGTCATTCTTTTGTAAAACTTTTGTACATAATATTCCAAAACTTTTCTAGAAATGCTGGAAATATGATTTTTCTCTGCAACTTTTTTTTGCAGCTTTTGCTTTTTTCTCCGCTTTTTAAAACTGTCGACAAGTAGCTAAAAAATAGAAATATAAAAAACTCGTGTTAATATAAAATTACTTTTGCCATGATATTTTATTGCTATTTTATTCAGTTTACTACACTAAAAACATACAGCGCGTTTAAAATAAAACGTGTTTTGTTGTCACAATAAACGATGGTATTAACCTTATTTTTATTTTTTTGTCTTAAATATACTTATTGAATTTTTATAACGTATCTTGTATGTAACTACTGAAAATAAAGTGATGCTACGCAAAACATCCTTTTTGACATAAGCGCATTGTTAAATTTAACATATTTTACTTTTTAGGAGCAGGCTTCAATTCTCCTTGCAGCAAAAATAAAAGAATTTAATCGAACGCATGCACAATACTGGACTGTCAGTTCTAATTTACCGCTCACCTCACTGACTTCACAGACAACACACTCCAATTTGTACCCTATAAAAAAGTGGAGGAAAAATTAAATAATCAGGTATTAAAAATTTTAATTTTCATTTAAACGTTTAAATTTTTCGGCTTTTAGCACGTCCTAGCTACTACTATAATATAAGTATTAATAATATTGATATTGCTGACAATTGTATGACTATTTTGAAATTATTGACAATTGCATAGCCATAGCAAACTAGCTAAATAAAAATATAAAAAATAAATAAACATAAAATTAAGAGTTATGATAAAAAGTCGAAAGTAGGCTAGCTAAAGACAATTGAAACTATAAAAATGCAGTTTTTATGACTAATATTGCAAGGTAATACTAAGTTTACAGCGGCAAAACTTTAATATGTAACTATCAACTAGCTATAGATTTTATCTTAAATTGAAGTTAGCTACAAAACTAAGTTATGCAACTATTAGATATGGTAATAATATCTTTAGATTAAACTCTGCGATACGTAGCCATCCAGTAGTGTAGAAAAGGGCCCGTATAGCCCGCAGCTGCAGAGGGAGGGAGGAGTTGAGCTAATTGGGGCCCAAGCCAACCAATGGAAATTTTAAAAATTTTTTCACTGAAAAAAATAATATGCATAGCAACATTTTATAATTCGCACTATTACTACGTAGCTAAGTAATGCAAACTTTAATAATCAAACAATTCAAATGATTTAATATTTTTTAAAACAAACTTTACACATGTTGCAATTAAAATTCATTGTTGCTGAAAATGCTTTGACTCTTACGTGACTAATTTCATTACAATCATAAATTAGATCTAAATTTCAGTCGTATAAAATACATTAAAAAATTTTTCTACATATTAATTTTCTACATATTCTTCTTTAGCCGGCTATCCTGTAAATGATTTATTTTATAATAACAGTATGCAATTTGACACAGTTTAAAAATTTTTAAATTTAAGTTTTTTATTTTAAGGGTTTTAAATTTGAGTCAAAATAAAATTTTTTTAAAAATAATCCCCTTAGATTTTTTACAAAAACAAGCGAAAATCACAATTATAAAAGACTTGAAAACTTATTTGATAAAATTTAATAGAAAGAAAAGTGATTTGTTTGATCTTACTGGCAGAACTTAATTTTTTTCAATAAATTAGTTACTTACTAACGAATCCTTTAGCAGAAATTAACTCATAAAAGTTAAATGATTACCAAAAGTATTTCATGGAGTAAGTTTTCTGGAAGATCTTTTTTTTCACCATTGAGTTATTGAAAACTCAAAATAAGTGATAATGAATTAAATACTTTACACACTGTAAACATTATTGCGCCAATATTGTTTGCTTCTAAGGCTACGTGATTAAGGTTTTTTTCGGATCGGTTTTTTTCGATACATACATACTCATATATACATATACCTATAAAAACACACATATATACAAACATACTTACATATATGTCAGAAATTAAGGAGATGCAGTTTCATTTGCCGTTTAAAAGAAAAAGTGCTTTTCAAATTTTTATATTGTTATTTTTTAATTGATTCCATAATGACGGGCCTTGGGTAATAATTGAGAATTTTGACACTTGCGATTTTACTCTGCTCAAGTAATAGTTATGGTTGATATTTGACCGAAGATTGTATTTTTGTGAAAATACTGATGCAAAAGTATCAGAAAACACTTTTGGTAGCAAGTTATTCTTATATTTATACATAAATATTAATATTTGAAGCGAATTAAGTTTTGATATATTTAACACATTCATGTATTTCATTACAGGGTAAAGGTTTTCTAATCTCTTTAAATAGTTCGGTTCGGTTCGGTTTCGGTTAAAAACAAAGTATTTTACGTCATGCTCTTAAACGGATTAATAATATTTAAACAACAAAATATTTTGATTATATCAATTTTCTTATTTATACAATGAAAATAGTTTAGAAAACAAGGTTTTCAAAATAACAATATTATAAGGTAAATATTATAAATAATATTTGAAATTTAAATAAAATAAAAACTTACAGCTATACTTACATTTTACAAGACGTTGATATCCAAACTCTCAAAAAATTTTATTCCATCATGTTCTGCAACATTTGTTCTAGTTTGAGGACCATGATGTTTGCAGACTATTTTATTATGTTTAAATTGTTCCCTTTTTTACTTTGCTTTTCTGTGGTTTGAAATTTCTTAACTTAAATACCAATTATATATTATTCAATGAATATTGACAATATATAATGGTATTAAATAATTTTTTTGACATTTCAAAACTTTAGATTGCGGTTCGGTTTTTATTTGATTTTAAATATTTAAATCGGTTTGGTTCGATTCGGTTTTTTTGTTTCGGTTTTCACCGAAAGAACGGCTCGGTTCGGTTAACCGCACAACCTTATTTGCTACTTGAGTCCAATCTCTTTCTAAAATCTTTCACATAAAAACAAATTTTTGTTTTATAGTGAATAAATCTAATGATGTTCTTTTTATAAAACAATGAAAGTGAATTAATTTTGAAAAATGTTGTTTCTGCAGCAATCGATGAGTTACCCAAAGATTTGTACTAAATTCAGATAAGAGTTATTTTAACATTAAATGATATACTTTTGCTTTTGAAGACAATTGAAGACAGCTGAAAGCTAAAATTTTAAAATTTTAATATATAAGCTTTATAAATTCTTTTATTTTTATTTTTAAGCTATTAACTGTACTTTGCGGTGCGCGAGTCACAGAGAGCACCGTCACCAGGAGTACCGTCACCAAGATACTGCTTTTTAATAGATAAAACAACCAGAATTTTTCCACTTTTTCATGTATTTGAAAGATTTTGAATAGAATAAACAGCCTATGATTTTTCATTGCTTCATATTGTTAAGTACTTTATGAGAAGAAGCAGAAAAAAATTTCAATACTTCTTATATATTCTAAATTTTGTTAATTTTTAATTTTGCAGCATTAAATTTGGGATGATTCAACGAGTTTTACTAAATTTACTCGAGCTCTAACTTGGATCAATGATCATTTTGATCCTAGCCAAATGTTCTTAAAGAAAATGATCTGTTTTTCATTAATCATATTTTAATCAACAACAAATAATTTTTCTAGTTAATCTGTTCGCATGGTAATATGTTGGTAACGTTGAAATGTTGATAATGGTGATTGGTTGATAGTTTTGATATGTTGGTAATGCTGATCAGTTGACAGTGCTGACATGTTGGTATTCTCTTGTAAACTCTTTTTAATTTATTAAATCTGTGATGTTTAATATTGTAATTTAAAACAATATTTTAATATTAACCTCATTAGAGATCTTTGTCAGAATTGAAAGCGTTAGCTGAAGTTCTTTTCAGTTTTTCACTTTTGGTCAGCACTTACGTCATGTTTTGAGAAAACAACGGATTTCAATGCGATTTATTCTCATCAAGTTTATTATCTTAAAGAAAGAATAAAAATTTTACCAAAACAATATTCAATTATATATTTTTTATTTTACATAGCTTATAAATATGAATTTTAATTTTACTAGTTCTTTTTTAAATTAAGGGCGTAATAGTATGAATTAAGGGTGTAATAATATGAATTCAGGGTGTAATAATAAGAATCAATGGCTCATTAATAATTAAAACATGCCAATTAATACTAAAATTAATTAATGTAATAAATTTTAATAAGTATAATATAAAATTGTCCTGTTACTGGGTTGCGTTGAAAAAAAATTTTATTAACTGTTAGATAAAAAAGTTTTAGTAATTGCGTTGGTTTCTGTTTTATTCGTCAGAATTTTATTAGTAACTATAAATTTTGAATAAAGTATGCTCATTCCTTCAAAAAAAATGTCTCCGATAATTTATGTTTTAACTTTCAATAATTCTATTACTTTGTTTATGTACAATAACTTTATATTTAACGAAATAAGAAGTAACATTGTAATTTTTAAATTTGAAAAACTCGTTTCACGAGTTCAACACGTTACACTGACGTTACAGTAACAGTGTATTTTCTCCCATTTTTTAACGCATGCTACATTAGAAAGTTAATTTTTTATTTTTACGCTTAATGAGTATATAATAAAATAGGATTTTTTGATATTTCTCACATGTGTCATATCTGAAGCACCAAAATTTTAAGGAGTATGCAAATTCTAAACTTAATCAATTTTATATTTAAGTTTGGAGTTTCAAATGATTATATTTTGCAAAAAATTTAGATAATTGATTTTATAAATATATGTTTTCAGCGTATAACACGAAACGGAAAGGTTTTAAATTTCATTTAATTATCTTTTAGTGTTCGTAAGTTATGATCATCAGAAGCTTATAACCCCGTTCTTTTAGATAGGGGATTTAAATTTAAAATTTTATTCGAAAATATTTTAAGATAATAACCATTGAAATTTTGAAATCAGTGAAATCATATGAAGTCATAGTGAAATCTAAATTTCAGTGATTTCTAAATTTCTAAAAAAAGTGAAATCTAAACTTCAGTGATAATCTAAATTTCAGTGATTTCAGTATCAATGGTATTTCAATAGTGATATGTACCAATGATATATCAATAGTGATATGTATCAATGATATATCAATATGGATATGTATCAATAATATATCAATATGGATATGTATCAATGATATATCAATAGTGATATGTATCAATAATAGATCAATATTGATATGTATCAATGATATTTCAATATTGGTATATATCAATGATATATCAATAGTGAAGTGTATCAATGATATATCAATAATGATATGTTCCAATATATCAATAGTGATATGCATCAATGATATATTAATAGTGACATGAATCAATGATATATCACTATTAGTGAATAGTGATGTATATATAAATGAAACATCAATAATAATAAAATCTTAATTTTAAAGATATGTATCATTGGTTAATGATGGTGAAATCTTGATATATTTTATTTTAGAGACACTAAAATACTAAAATCTTCTCAAAATATATATTGATTAAACTTTGATTTTAAAATAGTTTAAGGTAAAATTTATCACGTCTGTAAAATTTTAGATTTTTACAATAAAAAAATAAAAATTTAAAATTTTTTAATCATTATT